ATCAGAAAGAAACAAAAGGGTGAAAGAGTAAGAAATATATGTTCTGTTAAAGTTACAAGGATAAGAATATTGACATAGGATTTTATGTGTTAAACATTAAAAATGAGCTTTATCTTGAATCATAACGACGTCAAACAGGATCCACCCATGTTCCACAAAAACATGTGAACCTTTCCTATTTAAATAACTCAGGCTAAATAAAAAAAACGTTATTCACAGTTCTAAAATGGCAGTATTATTTGCACAACAAAGTCTATTTAAAAGAACATGTATAACTCCTCAGATCATTCCCTGTTTACAGATATTTCCCTGTAGTGCAGCTCAAACTAGATATGACCTGTTTTTTTTTATAGACATCATAGAAAAATGTCTTCTTGTTTTGAGGAAAGTGGACAAATTATACTTAAAATCTATGTTTGATTCTTTTTCATTATTTTTAACTGTAAAAGCTTCAAATGACCACATACAGAATATACTAGCTTGATCCATCACAAGTGTCATCATTTCTACAATAAATGGGATATTTGAAAACTTTGTTTGAATTCTTTGCCATTGTTGGGTAACTTCAAATAAAACATTTTTATTTTCTTTGTGGGGCAACACTATCTATGAAAAGTCATAAAACAACATAGTTTCCTATCAAATATGTTTGCATATATTGTTATATGCCTTGCATATTCTCTTTTTTTTCCCAAAAAATATTTTAAACATTTAAGAGAGATTGAATTTTTATGATGTGACGCTCCCATTAGACTGTGAGTTTAATTAACAAGAGTGTCAGAGATTAAACCTGAGCAGCAGGATTTGTACCTGGATGAATATTTAGAAAGTAACTGAAAGCATAAAGAAACATCCACAGTTATTGTCAACTCTGGTAAAGATATGTAAAAAAAATAAGAATAATAAATGTAGACAATATAAAAATAAATTCTACCTTTAGCATGAAGGATAAAAATATTTTGTCATCTTTTCTTTCCAAAATTTGAACAGTAATTGGCAGCTTAAGCAACTTTTATTAAATGAATAAAAGTAAATTTTTTTATTGTAAAGTGCCTTGAAACCCCAACATTCTCCTACAAAGAATTCAACTAAATTAAATTATTGAAGCATTTTTTAGAAAAATCAAAATGTATAGAAATTTTTTTTGCTAAACACATTCTCTAAATCCCTGCATTATAATTGCAGCATCACCCAGAGACCAATTTTTCTCGCTCTTCTTCAAATTGTGACATTCATGAGAACATTATGTTGATCTCCAGCAGTCAGTAGGTGAAGTGTGTTTTAAAACCTGGAAATGTTACCATCCTACTACAGATATTTTAAAGTACATACAAACTTTGCCAAGCTATTTCCACATAATAAAAAGATAAAAATCATTATGTTTGGTTGAGATTGGCTTGAAATAGATCTTTATTTACATCATGGTTTTTAGTTTCGGTTTGGCCACAAAATGAATTGCTTCCTAAAGAGATAAAAGTTTTGGTCACACAGAGCATCTTACGTTAATCAGGCGCTGGGATGTTTTGTGCCAGAAAAGCTCTCAGGCAGAAACTTCCAAATGGTAATGTTCTCTGAGCTAATAGCACTTTCCTAATCATGCTGACCTCTCAAAGCACTTTACACTGGAACAGCATCCACCCGTTCACACTCACAAACCAGAACATGCAAACTGTTACGCAACTTGAGGTCAGATGTCTGACCCGAGGGCGCGGTTGGAATCAAGCCTGCTACATTCTGAATACAAGACAACTGCTTTACCTGTCGAGGAACGGTCTTATTTGATCAATTTTGGAGTACACTTATTACATAGTTATTTTTCTCCATATTGCATCATGTTTGAGCATAAATGGAAAAGGAAATTACTCGCTTGACAAAACTTCTGAGAAGAATTGCTTCAAAATGATAAAATGAAATCAATGAGAAGTTTCCAACAAAATGAAGCAAAGGAAATTGCTTGATACATATCAGCAAAGTGTGGAATAATTTCCACACTTCACCAACATATGAATGCTTAATAATAATTTGCATTTCTTTTATGAAACACACAGAACTTAATATTCAGTCTTTAAAATTCAGCAACATCTAACTACTGCTAATAAGGATTGACTTTGTTTGGAACTTATTCTGAAACTGGTATTTAGTGATTTTTGGAATGGGCCATGCGGGTGGGGTTTGAAAGCAATGAGATAAAAGATTATAACTTATCTGTCAGTTTTACTTTGAACAAGTCGTCCATTGCTTTTATTCATGTGCGGTCAATGTGGAGGAGGCAGCCTCTGCTTGTTGCAGAGAACAGAAGTACATTTTATATTGTTTGTGTCGGACTGCAGTGCATGTTATTCTGCCGCAGGATTTAAATGATTTACTGCAATCTGGTAAACTGATGCCTCCTCTTAGCGCATTAGTTTGCTGCATAAAGATACGTACTGGGTTTACAATTTCAAATCTAAACCGAGACAAAAAGGAATCTTTCCTACATTCTTTGTATTGTTTCAGGTTTCTGCAATGATCCCCAACAATGCAATCAATAGGTCAGTATGCTACCTGTCCAAGTTAATAAGTGAGCAACGTAAATGCAACTGTAACACTGTTATCTCATGTATCGGATATTACTCTTGTGGGTTTTGTGGGGTTTTTTTCCCTCCTGAAAGTAATTACATTTTATCATTTAAATGGGAGTCCAGAAAACCTTCTTTGCAGTCTGTTGCATTTAGGTGTTCAATCAATAGTGTGCACATTTTACCGTTGCTGTTAGTACAGGCTGCACTCAACATACGTTTGTTTGCCTTCTTTGAGCAATTATATGCCATAGTTAATGAGGTGGCCATTGTTATGCATTGATTTTATTAGAACATACTGTACACCAGAGTGTTACTTACCATTAAGACATGTTTCACTTTTCTTTCTTCTGGTCACAAAGTAGTCTTTAATTTTCTTTGTTAAAAACAGTCATTGTTTATTTGTCCATGTACAGACAAGAAGAACTATTGTTAATACCCTTCTGTTAGTGATAGAAATGCCCAAATAGGAAGTAGTGCCCCCTTGAAAATATTTTTCACACAGATTATCTCTCATTTTATATTATGTTATGAAAAAATTGAAGTCATTCTCTCTGAGTGCATCTGAACATTTATTGTCTGTTTTCTGTTTATTTTAAAGTAAGGGTTTCTTCGACATCCAACACCAATTTCACTAAGGATTAGATCATCCTCTTAAGTGTTTTTCACCACTATGTTTTCCTGGAAACTGTCTGAACTTATCAGCATGACACCCAAACATGAACCACACTTCTGCAGGTCCAACATCATCTTTTTAAAATGTTGTTTTCACACAAGGACAGTAGCATTTCTGTCATGCTGCTGGTTTTAACTGTATAGTTTATGCTACAATTTGGTGACTGCAACATTATAGACTTGCTGCCTGGGTGTTAAAGGCATATTTTCTTTGTAGAGTACAGACAGAACACCATGATCACCGACTGAAATGTGGATATGAATCAAAGAGATTGATTCATATCAATCTTGGTGGCTGGTTCCAGTTTAGATCTTAAGCCCAATCTCATCATAACAAAATCTTTATTTGCACCTGGAGAGATGGGGAATAAGTATTTGTTAAATGATGTAAAAGAAAATCAGTTGTGAGGTTAAAATAGACATATTTTATTCCTTTCTGTGTCAGACTGTCAGTGCTATGTTGTCAGAACAAGTTTCTGAAGGAAATGTTTTAGATGGCTTGCCTTACACAGTTAATTGCTATCATAAATTTGAACTGCTAGAATAATGCAGCAGTTCATGTACCACTAAGCTTCACAATTTTATGACAGGCAGGGGGAAGAATACGATCTTCTTTCTGGGAACAAAAAAAAAAGAAAAAAAAAAAAAAAAGATGAGCGCTCCTCTGTTCTGCCTGTCTTCCTGGAGATGTCTGTTGCAGACAAGTAGCTTACAACTTCCAGCCTCCTGACAAACCTCATTTGTCATGTGATGGAGTGCCTGAAATACTCCACTTGTGGCAGACAAAACAGTGGCGCCAAGTCAATGGCCAAAGTAATCAATAATGGTTTTGGTAAAAGGCAAAAGCCTGTCTGATGGGAGAAATCAGTGGTTTTAGTTTCTAATTGCTGTTGAAGTCATGTCACAAGGAATGCTGTTTATCTCTTTGAACAAAGCTGGACTTGTGCTAACCTTAAATGCATTTTTATTGGGTTTCTGGGGAGCTTAACCTTCCTATAGACTGACGTTTATCTTTTCTCTTATCAGTGCAGAATGACAGAAACTTAAATCCAAAAGTGGTTTTACAATCTGATGCGAAATGTGAAATATAAAAGAGCAATCTACCATAATGTAGCTTGACAACTAAAATCACTTTCTTCTATAAGTATGTCGTTTCTTATAGATATGTGTTATGTTTGACTTTATTTATTCCTGCTTGCTCTACATTCTCAGGGGGTACATGGTCTTTAAAGATTTTTTCATCTTCTTAGTCTATCCTGCACATCTGCTTTTTAATCTGTCGTATTGTTCTTATTGTTTGTGCAAAAATTAATTATAATAACAACAGAATTTATCTTAGGCACTCTAAAAATGGTAACTTATTCAATCACAAAATGCATTTAAAAATTTGTGGTACAACTAGTTTGACTGTGCAATACATTGCGTTGTTGTGTGGGGGGAAAAAAAAATTCTTATATGGATAAATTAAATGAGATACCAGTAGCGATCATGGATTTTCCTAGAAGTGAAGCCCTGGAATCACACAAATCTCATAACACTGGGTCTGATCTGATTGCAGCTTCTCGATATTTCTTCTTATAAGTCTTATTCCCAATTAGACAACCCACAATGTCAGTGAAGCTTGTATTTACAAAAACAAACTATAACATCTTCTGGCTTCTTGTTTCAGACATGCAGTCCGAAGACCTAAGTCGCTATTCTAATATTTGTCCACTAGGTGGCGACAAACATCAAGCTAAATCCAAGTGCCACAGAGAATAACTGGGTTCATATTTAGATATTGAAGGTTAGTTGTTGTACTAGAGCTACATGACTCGCAATCTAGCAAATTTCTTTACGTCAATATCTGGGCATAAACTTAACAGGTGCCAGGTATTGAGCACAGTGGATTACCTTTAGGACTTTTGTCCCTTTTCGCTTTCCTTAGTCATCCACCGGCAGAAAAGTTTTTGCTTGATGAGCAACGTGCTGAGCTAAAAATGATTACTTCTTAAAGGTAAGAGCATTTTGGTGAATTTTATGAAAAGCAGCTGACACCGAAAAAAATACAAATACGTGTGTGTCGCTTTTGTTCCAATTAGTTTTTCTGTTGTTGTCTCATTAAAAAAAAAAAAAAAAAAAAAGCTGAAATCATCCGGGAGTGTTCACATTCCGTCTCCATGGTAACAATAGGGAATGACCTCCTAACATAAAACCAAAGCGTTCAGACAGTTTTATGTCAAAATGATAGTGGCTATGAGTCGAAGCCATTTATTCTAACGACACACACACACACACACACACACACACACACACACACAAACTGGACGGCAGTGATGTTCGATTAATAACCTCTTTTTAGTTGTTCTCATTTTATCATACAATGTTTACTACTAGCTAGCTCAAGCTGTTGTTGGCATTACCATGTTGTGTACTCTGCTAAAAAGACATTTTTAAGACGCAATAAATAAATAAATAAAACACTTAAACGCCTCCAGAATATTTCCACAAGGTGTTAAAAGTTACTTCACATTTCAATGTCTCCTCAGAGTTTTTGAATACCTACATTATTTTTGTCCATTCGTAAAAATGATCATTAGCGCTAGTGGGACAGTGACTGCGGCGCATTGCAGGTCTTATTTATGGACTGTGTTTTCCTCCAAGTTACATTTGGAAGTGAATTTGATTTGCTCTTGTTTCTGCAGTGGCCTAAATTTTTTTACAATTTTTTTTTCACCCGTCTCTTCTCCTCGCTTCCCAAGGCTGAGCCCAGCAAGGGCAGAGATTAGCTTTAACCAGGATTAAACCAATGAGGAAAATTTGAATTTGTTGGCCCTTATCTTCTAGCAACATGTGGAGTGCCCTAAGCGAATGGCAGAATTTGATCTTTTGCTTCCCAATAGCAAAAAGCATGTGTTTCTCTCCCCCCACCACCCAATAGACACTTATCATACTTGACCGTTGAAGACAGGGGGTCGGGGGGACTTTTAAATGGTTTGTTTATGAGGAAACAACATGCACTTGTTTGCTGCATCAGAATTACAGCTTAACCCCTTGACATCCTTCTAATAGAGCCTAAAAACAGTGCAGTGGGGCTATTTGTCTGAGAAGTTAGTTGATTACACAACTGAAAGGCTAAGAAATGACCAAAATGTATATTTTTATTTGCTGAGTTTTTAATTAGACATGCCTACCATATAGTTTAAAACATTTGGATACAGGTATATACTGTAGTGCTTTGCAACCTGTTCTCATACCTTCGACTTTGTTTTATATTTTGCCGCTTTACAGTCACAAACGTTCCGCTATTTTATTGGGTTTTAACTTGAAATAAGGTAGTATAGTTGTTAAGTAGAAGGAATAGCATCCATCCGTCCATCCATCCACTGTTCCAGGAGGGAACCCCAGACATCCAAACAAGGAAAAAAAGTTGACTTGAAACTCCTGCATAGATCTATTTGTATTTTCCATTTTTATGCTTTTTTTCACCAGTACTCATTACCAAAACACTGATATGGCAGAGACTGGTTGGATGATTTCTTAAAATCCAGTGCAAACAGCTGCCCTCCAAAGTCATATAATTTGTAGGCAGTATCTACAAATTACTGTATTTCACTAATCTCAGTAAAAATATGGTTGTTCCATGAAGGCCTCTGGTTTGTTAGGGACTGCGCCGAGGAACACAGCAGCAAAGTCAGTAATATAGTTGTGGAGAAGCTAAACCAGGGTCAGGTTTTAAAGGATAGAGCCAAGTTTTGAATAACTTATGAACCAATTTTTAATCCATGATCTCAAAATTTAATGAATATAACATAACTCCAAACTGCTCACCAGAAAGAAAATGCTGGGCAAGAAAAGCATTAATCAGAAAAGCAGCGTAGAGGCCCAAGGAGATTAAAGATCTACTGCTCAGGTTGATGAATCTGACAGCAGGATAACTGTTATATTTGCACCACAAATCTGGTCTTTTTTTTTTAAATGACAGAAGAGAACAAAATTACACTTCAACGCTTGAAAGTGTGCAGAAAAATTAACACTTCGCCTAACACCAAACCTTCTCCATGGTTGAAGACAGTATTGACGGCCATGGTTTTATTCAGAAGGGACTGAAGAAGCTGATTAGATCCTGAAATAAAACCTGTTAGAGGTTGAAAAAGAACTGAGAGTGGTATGAATAATGCTACATTACAGAATGACAATATTTTTCTGATTTTATCTTCAAGAAACTCCTCTATTGTTTCTCAGCTGTCAATTACAATATACTTCTACAGCTCTTTAGTGAGTCAGTTGGCAGCTTTAATGCCTTAATCCTGATGTGTTATTCGTATATCATATTTAGCCCACAAGCTCTGATAATCTTGCTGCATAATATTAGGTTTCCCTCCAGAACTTATTGAAGTAGATGGGACATTTGCATTCTAAACATGCAATTTCTTGCCTCATCAGGTAACGTAATTCCACGCTTCATTAGGACTGTGAAGTTTATCATTAGTCATAAAAGCCAAGCTGTCAATAAATGATTAAGTTTCACATGAGTCAAATATAATATTAGAGCTTGAGTAAAATAGATAATAGTGCATATTTTGATTACATTTGCAGCAATTTAGTTTTTGTTTGATTTTCCAGGATATATTTTTGCAGCTTTGTGTTACAACAGGAAAATATTATACAGCTTTAATCCTCACGGTCTTCATTGGATGCAAACGTCAAAACAATAATTTAAATGTATCTTATGCAAAGAGTAACTGATTTTTAACTGCCTTTGTAATGTATATCTTACCTGTGGTCTTGCATACCTCAACAGATTAATTCAGTGTTGATCCTTTAGTACAAAGTATCACACAACAAAACAGGAAAGATTTTATTCAACAAATAATAAAAAGTAAATTTTTTCAGAAATACAAATAAACACTCATAAAAACAAAATCACAGAAATACATTTGTTGTGACATTTTGATTTCATTGGGACCAACCATCATAACATTTGTCAAAGAGCGGGTTTTATGTGAAATCAACTCTATATCATGTTATAATGTTATTTCCGCATCAAAAACATTCCTGGAGTCTTACTTTGATTCTTTCACGCATGTTTGAGGAATCCTTGAATCTCCTGTAGCAGCCATTAGGAGGTGCCTAAACGCTTGCTCCCACAAAGTTCCTTTCAGCTGTACTATCCAGTTAAGTTTCCGCCCCAGAGACCACCCGTCCCCTGTACCTTCCTCACCAAGGTGTCCCGAATTAACAGGAAGCTTCTCATACAAAATACTTTGCACTTTCACATTACAAAGAACGGCTATCAACGGCATAATGGCTGAATTGTAATGTCATGTTGAAAGAAGGAGCTTCTTGAAGAGACAAAAGCCTAATTTTAAGGCGTCAAATTTCTTTTGAGTTACAGGTGATATATATGGAGCATTTCTGTAACAACTGAAGACACAATAGTTACTTGACACGATCTGCCTCGAAAGTCCATTGTATTTAGCTACAAAATGTTGTAAAATTTGTCAAAGCGCATAAATCCTATTTTGTTCTGAACCCTGTAAATGCATCAGATTTCCTACAAGAACCATACTCTATGGCCTCGCTCCCATATGGGGCATAGCTATCTTATGTGGTGTGCACTCTACAACAATCCATTGGCAATGAGAAATGTATGGTTTGACTTTGGCTTTTAGAGTCTCTATTGCAGTCATTGTGTGCATGTTCAGTTTGTGCTAATAAAAGAAAGGTGGAAATTTCTCCCTTAAATGATGGAGAGGTAAGGGAAGTATGGACTTGACCTGTGATGCTCTGTCGTCTCTAATTACTTCCTGTTGAAACTGGAGATGAGGTGAACACAGTGTGAAAGGTTGACGGCAGTGTGGTGTGTACTCGTGTTTACTTGTCTCTAATTGTGAGTGAGAGTGAAGACAAACTATTGTGGTTTGAATGTTTTACTAATCTTTGTCATCTATGTCATCCATATATGACCTAGTTCTGTATTTTTTTAAAATAGGTTCATTTTCTTTTTACATAAATGATAGAAAGAAAGGGCACACAAAGTATTTGGCAGTGCTGACTTAATGAAGTGAAACAGGGTCCTTGGATTTGGTCCTTTGGGGAGTGTTTTAAATCTCACAATATGAGTACAAAGTGCATTCTTAATGGGAAGCATTTAGGTCCACATGTGGCACTGGGGCATAGTTCTTAACCATGACTGCTGAGTGGTCTGAATCCCAGTTGTACATTTAGCAATCTGGTCATGCTCTATTGTTGCATTTTGTTGTTAATGAAGAACAAAGAACATCGAGTCTTTGTTCTTCTTTAACAATTCTTTAGTGTTTCTTTTAACTCAGGTTCTTCTAACTTTACTTTAATAGTGTTCTTTATAGATAATAGTTCACTGGATTTCTGTCTTTTACTCCAAATCATGACGTATAGAATAAAAATAGCTGTTTTGGTCGGTATAATTTTTAGATTATGGTTAGGTGTAAGCTTCCTTGCAAATGTCGCAAGTTCATGGTGATATTATACACAAGAACAACAAAAAAGCTAATTAAGTGATTAGTTTTGCAATTTTAACCTGTAGATTGAGCTGTGTCTACTGGGAGACAGGTCTGAAGATTGCAGCTCGGCATTCGAGACTTAAAGCAATTTGTGACCCCTTTTAACGTCCAACTTCTCACCCTAAGTTGACCTTGGTGTCCCATTTCCTTTGCATCAGAGATTAGAGGGACAAGGATCAGGAACCTCTGCCTCAGAAGATACCTTAGACACACAAGACCCTGTTGCAGTCACTTCGGTTTCTCAGTGATACACTCATCACATGCCTCTGTCTTCCACAAATGAGCTCTGATTGAGATGATTGGAATTTCCAGAGGCTGTCACAATCATTTTGATTGGAAAATAGACATAAAATAATGGGAGAGACAGGCCTGTTATGAGAGCCCTGTCAGGGCTAAAATAATGCATCGGAGTGAGGAGGTTAAAGACACTGCTTCCTTGTTAATAATTAATTGCTGTGCGTGTGGTGGATCCACTTCATCGCTCCTAGTCGTCACTTGATAATTGCTTTACATTTAATTTGGCTTCAGAGACTGTTTTTCAAGCTGACTAAATTGTGCTTAAAGTGAATGTAGGCTTAAGCAGAGGCAACATTCAGGTTTTCAGAGAAATGAAGACTAAAGATGGTATTTCTTGTATGTTGTCCTGTCATGCTGGGCAACCTGACAGGATAACGTGTTGTCTTTTGGTTAAATTTGAAAACACAATTATTTAAACAATTATTTATTGTTTGGAAAAATATTGAATTTAGTGTTTTGAACATAACATTTTACTTAATACCTTCTTGTTTTTTTAATGTAGGATATAAGCAGATGTTATTAAGGAAGGCATGAAGCATCGGTCGACAGTGACCTCTGGTGCTACATCTAACAGGGATGTTCCTGTTATACGCCTCCAATCGGATTCAGAACTATGGGTGAGAAAAGTTTCTGTTTAAAAGTTAATGACATGGTAAAAGCTGCATGATATCTGGAAAAAATGTGACATGTTATATTGTTGGGCACATTGCAATGTCAATATGATTTGTGATAATTAATCCGATATGAAATTTATAGTGTCGAAGCCTTTGTGCTTTGAGACCTTTGCAAACATAAACCTTTGATAACTGCGAGTTTAACCAGGTACTGAAAGAAAATTAAATTAGTTATTTTAATTTCAGAAAAATCTTATTATTGAAAACTAGAATCTGTCTGCAGCTGCTGCAATGTATTTTCTTTTTGACTTTTACAGAATATCTTATTTTGCTGCATTAAACAATAAATATTACTAATATTACTGGTTATTCAGTGCATGAATGTTTGGCATGAAAAAGGAATATTTATTATGAGCGTATTCGTTTTTACAATACTGATATTTCATGCACTGATACTGCAAAGATGATACATGTGTGTCATATTGTGTAGCTCTAATGGTTATGTGTATTTGTGTCAATGAAACAATTAACTCAAATTGCTCCAGAAGAAGTTCAATCTCTACTTTCTTTTGCCGAGGCCGCTTTCTTTGGGGAATTTGACCGTTCTGTTTGCCACATGCAAAGCAGCCAGTGCTCAGTCTTGCATGAACACAGATAATAATCAAGTTAATTAGACCTGAGATTGAATGAACTGCAGCAGCAACTTAATCATTTGTGAGTTGATTAAAAATACTATATTCTGCAGCTCAAGAGACTAGAAATCTGGCATGTGTTTTTTTTTTTGAATCACCTCAAATTAGGCCATGTATCAAAGTTAAGGTGAAAGTGTTTGGTTTGCAGAGTGCTAATCACAGACTGAACTATTTGACAGTTTGCTACAAATGCTTTAATGTTTTCCTTTTTTCTTTATTCCACTCAGAAAATTTATGAATTTGGAAAGACACTGGGTCAAGGAAGTTTTGGAATTGTTTATGAAGCCACTCACATCGCGACACAAACAAAATGGGCGATAAAGGAGGTTCGCAAACCAGCGGTGAGCCCTGCTTTTTCTGATCAAAAAGCTACACCTGTTAGAGAAGCCCATGTAACAAGAGCAATCAATTTTTCTATACTTTTTTATTCTACCACAACTTTTGTCACAGGCAGGAAGTTCAAAGTTTAAGATGTTGGATAACGAAATAAACCTCCTCAAGCAAGTAGACCATGCTCACATAATACATCTCGAAGTAACCTACAATACACCTACGGTAATAATTGCTTGTCCTTGGGTCTCGATCGCAACATAGATTCTCGTCAAACGTACAATTGATAATACTTATCTTTTGCTACTAAGTCTTTCTGGAATGAAGTGACTTTGTTTTCCATTTTGTTCCCAGAAGATTTGTCTGGTCACTGAGCTCTGCAGAGGAGGCACCCTGAAGCAGCAGCTCCATCAAAAAAAATTCTTCACAGAGGATGAAACGAGAAAAATTATATATTGTTTAGCGGATGCAGTCGTCTACCTTCACAAAAGAGGTGATGTATATTTAGAAGACTGACCGAAGTGTGTGAATATACATAGTTTATGGACAAGGCTTAGACAGATAATGTAATAGACACAAAATGCAAAGTGTGATTTCATTATGCCATTTGTTTAGTTGGTTTTTTTATATTTGAAAACCACCAGAAATATAAGAAACCAGTCCTTATGGCAAACAATAATAATCAGTTAAATATTAAATACAGTAGTTGAGAAGGCTAAGATGGTTCTATGAAGGCAGTGAGCTCTAACAACATATTTTAAAGAAAATAAATTATAAGAATAATAAATTATTATTTTAATTAATGAAAATGTTCTGCTTCTGTCTACATGTAGAGATTATGTTAAGAAAGGATTGAGAATTAGAGTCTTTAGCCATGTTGCATAATATTGCAAAAAGAAAAGAAAATGTTTTACCTTATGATTAAATCTTTGCGTTGTTGTAAGTGACCTCTTGCTATTCTCCTGATCCCTGTTCCTTGTCTGCATGGCTGACTTTTCACACCTTCACTGATATTTGTACTTGTGTTGTTTGGTAGCTTTGAACCAAATTCTTTATTTGTAAATGACTTCTCAAAGTTTTGCATATTCTGAAGTGTCGATTTGGTTTTCTCTGATTTTTAAACTAAGCCAGAACTGGTCACAACTACCTCCTTTGTATGAAAAATATTGTTCTCATTCACTAACTTTATAAATAATACATTTTCACATACACCAATTAAAGTGTAGCCGTCTCGAAGCAATTTAGAAAGTGGTAAAAAATATTCAACAGAACACCAACAAGTGATTATATATTTTTTATTTTTTACATGTTTTTTGTATTTATTATTCATGCTGAGTATTTGCATCAGAGTGGTACAATAAATAAATCAGGTTAACATTTAATAAAAAGAGGTTTCTTCTTTCTAATCTTTAGTTTTTCTTTGCAGATATAGTGCACCGGGACCTGAAACTTGAAAACATTCTTGTGAAGAATTCTCCTGATGAAAAAGACTGTTTTGACATTAAGGTAAAGTTGCGACATAAACATGTAATTAAATGTTTCATCACACGGTTTCCTTTCTCTCCGCAAATTTAAAGAAAGCCTCATTAGGACCCATTTTATTTAATTAATCTTGATATCAGTAAAGGCCTGATTTAATGTCTTTTTTGACACCCATATTCTCACAAAGATTAAGTTGTTTCCCAGCACATAATCGTCAAATTACATTATTTTGTCTGAACTCATAAAACATACAGTTGATAGCGGAGGCATAGATGGTGGTTTCTTAGTCTATTTTTTCTACTCAAGTACATAATTATAAACTCATTAAGAATAGGAAGTGTGTCTGAGTGTATTTTATTGATAAGTTCTGCATGCTGTAGTACCAAAACAGGAGACCTGAGACATTTATTGAAATACCTTTTTCTTAAGTGCTGTTGTGCACCTAGGTGGCAGACTTCGGACTGTCAGTGAAGGCAGACGGTGTTGGGATTAGGAAGGTATTGACGGAGGCCTGTGGGACTCTTCTCTATATGGGTATCCTCTCTATAAGTAATATTTACCATATTATGCTCAATAAATTAAGTTGAATATATACAACCACTGCAAAGTGTAATTTCATTATGCCTTTTTACAAAGTTGTAAAACAAAGTCAGTTTTTTTATTTGCATGTTTATGGCTATTTGCAAGTACATATGTGTAATGTATCAACAAGTCCTCTGACTTATTGATAAATTGGCTCAAAATAATTTTTCTTTGGATTCCCACGTATTTATGCCCAGAAAGGACTTACGGGAGTTGTTTGCCTCCTTCATAAACTTAAGTTGTAGGCTTTGAACTTTGTAATCATTTATTAATAGTGTTACAGCACACATTAGTCTGACTGTGAATGTAAAAGTGTAAAAGATAAAACACTAACATTTTGAAGGAAAACAAAGAGACGTCAGACAAAATGTACAAATTTCAGCACATTCCAGTGGATGCACTGGATTTCATCTGATTGTCAAATTCTGTAATTCTGTTGTAGTTTCACCACATCACAGTGGATTTTCAGACATCTAGAACTACAGCTTTGTATGTTTTCTAGAAGCAGCTTCAAAGCATTATTACTACTGAGAAGTTTTTTTTTTACGTGTATGTTTTGGTCCCAAGGTTTCTGTAACTGAAAAAAAAAGCCATTCGTGTGTGATTTTCAGCCCCTGAAATGATGAGTGGCCGCGGTTACAGCCATTGGTGTGATGTTTGGAGCATCGGAGTCATTATGTTTATGCTGTAAGTAGGCGCACTTCAACAACTTCCTAATCATCTTGAATTAGAAGTAGCCATGACTGAAATATGTCTCCATGTAGGCTTTGTGGAGAGCCTCCATTTCATTCCAAATCAAAGGACAGACTGCTCAAGAAAATTATGCGCAAGGAAGTACAATTTACTCAACCCACTTGGGCCACAGTTAGTGATGGAGGTGAAACTTTTTCTTAAATCTCACTGTTAACAAAGATTAAACAGTACCTACTTTAGCCAACTGGTTTCTGTCTCAACAGGAAAATATGTCCTGACTTGCCTTCTAAAGCCTGACCCTGCTTATCGCATGTCTGCTCATCAATTGCTAGAACATCCCTGGATTACAGTAGGGCACCGGCTCCTCTTCTGCATTTCTGAACTTTAAGTGACCGACACAAAGAGGTCTTATGGGAGACTTTTCCAACAGGGTGATACAACTGTGCCTTTGGGCCCAAACAACGTGTTGGAGATGATGCATCACTGTATGGAAAACGAAGAAGGTAATAATGAAGATGAATTCAAGTGTTGTTCTTTCCAAGCTATGATCAAAATCTTCCAGTAACTGACATTAAGTAAATGTTGTTGAATGGAACAGAATGGACAAAACATGCATATCGGTGTGTTTTTAGTGGGTGGAAGATGAAATAATCCTGGAGGACAATTAATTTTGAAGGCTTCATAAGTGTTAAGCAATCGGCAGAGCAGAAATTCTCAAATTCATAATCAGAAATTTCAGTCATAATCCTAAGCCTTTAAGGCTTTAATAATATGAACAATTCTGTTAGTGTTAGACAGAGTTGAATTAGATTCTTCTGTGGATTTGTATTTTTCCTTTTTTCTTAAAAATAAAAACGATTAAAAACTTGAAAACTCTCATAGCAAAAATTGTGACTGATTTGCTTTGCTATACTTGCAGTTAAAAAGCTGACCTTACTACTTGCTCAAATAAAATATGAAACGTAACTGTCATAAATATACAGGAAACTTGTATGTTCTCAAATAAATTGGTATGAAAATTACACTGTAAAAACACAAAAATTATGAGTATTTCTGGTCTAGTTTCCAGTGCAGATATCTCAGTACACTTGAGATAAGAGAAAACTAATTTACAATAAACTTTCTATCTAGACATAGGAGTTTGTTTGAAGTCAGTAATTTCTTCATATTTATAAAATGAGCTAGTTCCTCTGGTTAGATTATGTCACTTATATAATTTGCTGGTGGAACAATATTATTACTTTTGGTCAATATTAACAATTCATCCTTAATATTTATTTACTGAAAACAAGCTCATACAGTTTATCTTGCTGCAAAGTTACTTACAAGTCAGTTTTGTTTAATTTCAAGTGTAGTAAGATATTTTTCACTAAAAACTAGACCAAAAATACTTGATAAGATTTTGTATTTTTGCAGTGTAGGTGACCTATTGCTGATTAATATCTTTTTCAGAAGAAGAAAGTGAGACTGAGAATGAGTTTGTGTCCACCTCTACGGAGGACGAGCCATGCCTGGACATTATCTACTTCCCCTTAAAGAAAGACACCGTTTGTGAGTCCAGAAAGGTTGCAAAAGGAAAGGTTTCCCCTGAGAGAAGCATCACCAGACCATCCACATCTGCCAAGCCGGTACTGTTTGTCTGTTTAACACAACTCTGCAACACTGTCCATCTAAGAAACCTCTCATGGGTTCAAGAGCTGTTTGTGATAGCCAATGTTGTTTCTGTTGTCGTATATGGTGCTTTGCAAAGTATTTATACCTCTTGTACTCTTTTAGATTAGATCTGGGATTTTATGTGATGTTTTTCTTTCCAAGCTATGGAAAGAACAACAACAGTAGTGGATATTTGCAAAGTGAAAGAAAAATTATACCTTTTTTTAACTAATACTGGAAAATGTTTATAGAGAACAAAACTATTTTTCAGATACCCTTGTACCGGTTTTGCTGGTATTTGGACTTATTATTGTCCAATTTGTGCAGCTCACTCTCTCTGATTAATGCTTGTCTTTATAGTTTAGATGCACAGTTATGATTTTGTAGGCTTACACCAGGGGCATACTCTTTCCATTTTTAGATGATCGGAATGAGTAGCATTTCAAAACTTTAGATCTCATTCTAAAACCTAGCCCTGCTTTAAAGTTCTCTGCAACTTTATCCTAGCTCTCCAGGATGCAGTTTGTTCACTAATGTTCTCTAGCAAAGCTTTTAGGGCTTCACAAAATACCTCTGCATCTACTGAGACTCAATTTTGCTGTGGTTGGCTGTATTCACTAAGAAAGTGAATAGAGCTTCTTAGTTGCCCCTGAATTTTTTAGGGGTTTACCTATGATGGGGGATAAACAACTAAATGCAAGAGTTCTTATATTGGTTAAAAATGTTTGAAAGCCTACTGCCACATCGAAATAAATGTATTTTAATGTTTGTATGATGTTAAAATCCATCCATTCATCCATGGTGGGTCACAGACACACACACACAACAAAAATAACATGCACACTCACATCTAAGGAACATTTAGAGAGACCAACTAGCAGTCAAGTTTTGTACTTTGGGCAGACAAACACATGGAAGGGCAGAACGTGTAAACTCTATATAGAAAGACCCCGAGCCGAGAGTCAAACCCAGCCAACAGAGCTAACAGTTGCTCCTCACTTGGCAGCCCTGGATGTCAGCATGTCGAAGGGATATGAATACTTTTGTGAGGCATTATAATTTACCCTGACAGCTCTGAGACAACAGCACTGCCACACACTGCAAAGGTTTTTGAACTGCCAGATCCTTTCAGTTCAATTTCTATTTAAGTCTTCATTGTTAGATTTTTATGATGTCACATATTTGATTTTTAGCTTGAAAGTGCCAATATCTTCTGATATGTAGCTGTCCTCATTTGCTTTATTCTTTCATACTGCATTTAACACCGAATCACCACTAGATGGTGCCAGATTTTCCTCTTAAAAAGATGGTGTTAAAAGTCGAGACTTGGTTGTTTTATGTTGATGTCTGAGCTGTCTGACATGAATATGCATCTGATTTTTACAGCTTCTTGGTAGAAAAAGTTCAGCCCTGCTGAGTACAATATCGGAAAAGTCTGCAGACAAGACGGATACAGGACCGAAGTCGACCACTCTCTCAGCAAAGTCAGAGAAGGGACATTCATCTAGCCGTAAAACTGAAACATCTCTGTCACATGGCAAAGCAAAAAAACAACACAGAAAAAAGAAAAAAAAAAGGGACAAATCCAGTTCATCAGAGCAAAAAAACAAAACGAAAGATAAAAAAGAAATAAAGGGGAAAAAATGAGTCGAATCAATCATATGAGAAAACGTAGAAGGGAATTGTAATGTTTTGATCATTTTAATATTTATGAATTTCTGTTTTTTTATTATTGGTTTTAGCAGATGTGGCACTACCACAAGTGTGCTGGCTGGGGAGGAAGCAGGGGCTGTAGTGTCAAAGGAATGGGCCTCACATGTAGTGTGACAATAGTTCAACATGCCCAAAACCATTGATTGCACTTTGCCTAAGCAGTGCTACCTTGTGCCAATATGAAGGCCCTACTCTGAGTTGTTTTCCAGCTAGACAAACTAAAATCATCAGACAGGTAAAACATGTTTTTTGTTTTGTTTTGTTTTTTAAGAGAAGTTAACAGAATGAATACTTTCTTATCAGGGTCTACCGATAAAGTTACCTTACAGAAAGATAGATTCAGTGAAAAAAAGTTTCCTTGAAAACTTGCACAAAGTGAATGCAGTAGTCATCTGTTTATTGCTGCTAGCAAATAATATAAATGTTATCTTTTTACTTTTACTCTCTGCTAATATTTTTCTTTTTGCATTGTATTCTTATCTTCTTTCACTGCTACATGTACAGATAGGGAATAAAAAGATTGAAATGAATCAAAGCTGAAACAGATTTGGCACTGGGCTAAATGTAGTGTGTGAATTTTATTTTACATTTGTGCATGCTACTGTGGCACATGTACGCATCCAGGGTTTGATTTGTGTTTTAAGAATTACATATTTAACTGATGCTAGTTCTGAGACACTAAAACAGAATACAAACGATTAGTTTGGATATCATTTCACAACACCGAACTACGCAAAAGGGATTTTGCTCCCTTTGTGCTCTGACCTCTCAATCCCAAAGCATTGCATATGCAGTGACTGCACCCACTCAGTGTCAAAACAGAGAAACTGTCACACAGGCTGGTTACGCTCCATCTAAATGCAGAGGATTGGGACTGAGGGCAGCCACGGGTCTAATCTCGTTTGGAGGCCACTGAAAGCAGCAGCAGCTACTTTGAGGGCACTGCCATTCAAGCACAGGTTTTTTTTTCCCCCCGCTGTAGAGAGAATAATCCCCAGCACAGATACAACATTAACGTATCCAAGCATAACACACAGAGGGTGAATTTCAAATCCACCCATTTGCATCTTGAAGTGAATGAGTGCCAACAATGGGCCCGTGTTCCTCCACAGGCTTTATGTTTTAGTGCATATGTGAGAATGTCCACAATCGCTTGTGTTAGGACACAAGCGATTGTTGATAAAAGCTGCTTGCCAAAAAAAAAAAAAAGGGACTGCTCTGCTACTGCAGAATTACTGACACGCTGAATGTCTCTGGTTTACTCAGATTGCTATAAAACAGCAGATGGAGCTGTAGTTAGTTGCTGAATTCATTAATTTGAGCTGTACCTAAAGCTACCTAATTTTCAGCATGAGGATGTGTAATTAGAATTGAGTGCTTGAGCCACTGCCCATTAAAAAATGTGATTTCCATGTAATCTGTCTCTAATTAATATGTTGTATGCTTACACCTCGACGGTCCATGTAGCTAAAATAAAATTGTTAAGACGTGACTCCTGTCGAGTGCTGTCTTGTAATTTTGTTTTTAAATAATTTGAGAATATAACAAAAAGCACACAAATGATGATTTGTGTAGTTAGTTAAACATACTTCACATTTACATAAAATCTATTTACATAGTTGCTTGTTGGGCCAATTGTGTTCTAGTGGAGATGGCATTTCTCCACATGCTCACCATTTTCTTATTCTATATTAATTCTTTTCAAAGCAAAATGTCCATACAACAAATCCAAACAATACTTGTGTGTATGTGTGTGTTAGGGTTGGGTAAACATGATAAGGGGACATTTTAGCTTTTCTGTGCTAACTTCAAAATTGTAAAGATTCAAAAATCTGTCTGCGCATATTGACGCAGGTAAACATTAGCTTCCAGCTGTTTGGTTCCTCAGTGTGGCAAAACAACAACAGAGGTGGGCGATAACAAGGGGGGGCCACATGCGAGGCTGTATGGTGGGATAGGTTAGGGGCGTGAATTTAGGACAAAGCACAGAGGCAAAGGAAATTAGAAAATTCGTCGGGATGCAACGAGGGATGCGATTGCTCCCCCCAATCCCGGCGCCACCCTTCGCCCACACCCCTAAAAGCCCTCCCACTCTTTTCCTCTAGCAGAGCCCCTGCCAGATGGAGGTATGGGTGGGTGGATTGATGGGGTGAAGGGATTAAAACTCTTCAGCCCTATTTTGGAGCCTCAACACAGTGTCACTCCCTGCAAAGGTGGGGAGCAGAGGGGCACTTGTGGCTAGAGTCACAGTTGTGGAAATGAGTGTGCGCAGGCTAATGTCAAAAGAAGCAAGGATGCTTCCCCTCCCTTTGTTGCGCACCCCTCTCGGCTTCCTCCACCTTTATCCAGTGAGTACTGAACTGCTTGAAGGAGGCAAGTAGGAGGAGGGGGACTGCATCTCCATAACCTAATAAAGCTCTCTTTAATTAATCAGCTCATCTGCACAGGCCCGATACCTGCAGCTGACCCCCCTCTCCACCCACACACACACACACACACACACACGCACACACACACCCTCTCCTCCTCACCATCGACTACCGTTACCTCAACACAACATCCTCACACTGCTGCTATGACATTGTGGTAATGAGCTAACATGGCTACAATGTCATGGAAACGTTGCAGAGACATTATCAATCATACACCCTGATGTTGCTGATCCCCGTCAGCGGCAGAAACGCCTTGCAGTTTGGGACCCCCTCTTTTCTAAAGAATAAAACGAGTGAATATAAACATGGCTACTATCCACGATAGCTTTTTTTTTTCCCCAAAGAAAAAGAAACAGGGAGGGGCTGCGTTTACGTCAAGCAAACATTTGAAACAGATGGCGATTCCAAAGCAAGCCTCATCAATCTTTGTTGACACTACCCCCTTTTTTAAACTACTCTTATTTAGGATATTTGCAATTATAATTCATACTGTAACCTCATTTGAATATCAAATTAATTACTGAACACACTGGAGTAAATACCTCTTTTATAAGTCCTTGTTAAAAGTGAAAAGTTCTCGACTACGGTCGGGTGGTGTGTTAATTTACAGTGATATCTAATCCCAAGTTACTTCACATAAAAGGCATTACTATACATATTTTAATAGGGAGGTGGTTGTTTTCCAAGCAATTTTCTGCTAGAGTACATTTTTAATTTATTCATATTTAATTTATTGGTCTCTGCATACGAGCTCGGTGAAACTAATCAACAGCATGTATGGCCCTCTTAAAGCCACATCCCTCCCTGGCAGGCAGACAAGCAAGCCTCTGCCGTCGGATAAGCTCTCTTCTCTTGAGCCGCGGAGAGCTGGGTGAAATGCCCCACATTCAGTCAAGCAGGAGGATGCCGCCACCAAGGAGACTCTTGAGTTTCCCACAAACAACCTTTTAATCAGACGGAGAGAGGGGGATGTAGGGGGGATGTAGGGGGGTAAGTAGAAAAATGAAAAATGTGCCCAGCCTTGAATGATCCAAAACAGCGCAATTTCTAAGGATAGTGACTGTCGTTACTGCTGTCAGAATGCAGCTCACTGGGGACAATGCCTTTTTCCCCCTCATCTCTTTCCACTTCTCCTTGCCCTCATACTCATCTGCCCTTGAATTGGTTTTATGGAGCTTTTGGCAGTCATTTAGCACAGTATGACCGGAGTTCTTATCACCTGACTCTTCTTTACTCTCCAAACATCTATCGACCCCTATCATAGGCTATGACAGAGGTAGAAGGATCTGCTTCACCCTTACACATGCAAATGATTTCAATTAGCTACCATTTTTCTTTGACAAGCTATTTACAGCAGGGCTGTCTCTCCGGAGTAACATGCACCAAGTGTCATGAGAAGCGGAAAGGTCATTTGACACATTTTTTGCCCCAAAATGAATACATTTATTTCAAGCACTTAATTCCACAGGAACCTGACCATTGCATGGCTCGGCAGGGCTCTGAGAGGAGGCATTACCACAAGAGGAGGCTTCACTTCCGCCCCAAAAGCAAGTGAGTGACCACGGGTCCGTGGGAATGCCTGAAGAGCAGGGGAGAAAAAGAGACAGTGAAATGGAGTGTGTGAGATCCAATCACCTTCTCTATTATAGGAAAATCGCCTTCATCACCTTCAGCATAATTGGAACATTCATTACAGTCCAGTAAAGAAAAAAAAAAAAAAAGCAGGTCGCCATTAGATGAGCGATTTGAAAGTAGGTTCCTCCAGAATGAGAGACTCGAGAGGTCATGATACGGGGTCATAGTCAAGTAAATAATGGGAATTGGTCCCACGAGGCTGCAGAAATCACAAAGCTTGTGACCATGCACCAGAAAAACAACTCTAAGGAGTCAAGAATTCAATCATCAGACAGAAAATAAAATGCCCCTGTGCCCTTTCAGTCGTACAGTAATTACAATTAGAAAGGCAGAAAGTAATTTGCAGAAGTAAACATACTTTTAATCTGATGAATGTAGAAGCTGCTGTGATACTTAATGTGATAACTTTTTCTTAATGTTAATCACAAAGCTTTTATTAATGATGTGGATCTGCTGGGAAATTTAATTATATTTGCCCTGAAGTAAATGTAAAATGTATATCTACGGTATGTGGAAACTCCTTTAAAACACTTCTGAGGATGAAGATATGCAACTATTCTTTGCTAATAAGCTCATGTTCAAATGAATGATGTTGCACTTATCTGCCAGTAGAGGCCTCACTCTGGCTTAAAGTTTTCTTTTTTACATTTGCACTGTTTTTCCTCCTGCTCTTGTTGTGAGTGTCTTAACATTTCTCTGCAGGGAAACCATAAACACCAGGCTGATCAAAGGAAGCATATTCAATATGTTGAGGTTGGAAAACCGAGTTGTTACAGTTAAGATATTTTACAAAACTTTGTTCTAAGCAAAGAAACCATAACAATAGTTCATGGGTTTGTGTGCAGCAGTGCTTTAACTAACTGCAAACATGCCTGAAGTCAGTCATGATTTGAGATTCTCTTTGAGAGATTCAACAGACGACTTAGGTATTTATTTCTTCTTGATGCTCCCACTAATGACCGTGTTTTGCAGGAGAAAATGCCTCCACATTAAATATGAATAAACACATCATGATGAAACAATTAGGCAATGGTCCTTAGTGTGTAGCTGGTTTACATTTCTGGATGCCAAGAAAATGGTAATAACAAAAACAAAGCTGCAGAGTAGGTTCCATCAATTAAGCGTACTTCTCTGTGGAAAAGAAAAGAAATGTAATTTGCGAAGAAAGACCACAAAGCCCCGCGCTCTCTTCACTGAAGACTGAACTTTTACAATTGATGAAAATAGACAGTGGTATGATCAGCCAGTGGAAGAGAGGCCCAGCGTTTCATGACAGGATGACACGCAGCCTCACAGTCACAAGCTGGCCCGCAGCATCCGGCCTGTACTTTCCTCTCAGCACTTTCACCACTCAGGAGGCAGATTGGAGTTCTCACTCTCAGCTCCTCCACATTATTGTCCATTATCACACCGTGGTCCATGTGTAAGGTGACAGTGGTGCTCTGATGGAGGGGCGACAGGGGGGACCTAGTCTGCAATAACATATTATTAGCTCCCCCCCGCCACCCTGCTCCACTAGGTTGGATTTACACTGGATATCCAAAGACCTCTGAGGGCAGCGCACTGTCATTGTGGTGTCCAGCAGCAGAGCAATTGCAAGGAATGTGCAGGTGTGTTCAGACTGAACAGCTGTGCACGCATACAAGGCACACACATAGAGCACCAGTTTGTCTTCAGTCATTGACACACTTTTTCCAATTAGCCTGTATGCGCTTATTCTTCTTGATTTCGTTTAAGGGTTTATTTTAGGTGTCAGGACACATCTACTGTCGGTTTGACAGATAGACTGTGCACAAAAGTACATTGCCCCCTAATTAAGTTATGATTTGTTGCAAGCCGGCAGACATTCTTTTAACGTGTTAAAGTTATTCTGATCAAAGTTTGTCTTGGCTTTCTGCTGAAGTTTTTCTTTGGACTTTGATTTTATATTATTGTTTTTCTGTCCACTACTCTTACCAGATCGGTATCAGATATTGTACTGTTTGAGCTTAAAATGTGAGAATATTGAACAAGTGATGGACACAGAAGTGCCAGAATATCAAAGACCTGACACAATACCTCAAGAATGCCTGGTCCATTTCTTGATCAACTGCATTTTCTGTAGTTTAGTGAATTATTCTGCTGGTGCTTTTGAGCTGTTATTCTTTCATATTCAAACAAAGCTGAGGAAAAGGCAGCAAACTGGGATTTCCTGACAGGGTGGTAACTAAATGCCTAAAGATCCCATTAAGAACAAGTTCTTTGTTAAACTGTCTGAATTAAGTTAAATGGTTCATTTCTTGATTGACGTCAGGTTGACTAAGCTAAGTGGCTTGATTAAGAAAAATTATTCTTTTCTAAAAATGCTTGGCTACTGGGCTGAAAATGAGCTAAAATCAAGATAATATCCAAAGAAGCTAGTAGACTAGTACAAGACTTTTGCACA